TGCATCGATGCAGTGGCGTATTTCGACTGAAGGGTCGGGTTGGGGGGGGGGGGAGGACAATAGAGTCAAACCCCATCTGAGAGATATCGGGAGAGAAAAATATACCTCTAAGGTAGGACTGGGCTCTGTGCTAGCGGCGCCTGGGGGCGCCACTGCATCGATGGAACTCTTGAATTCGTTTCTGACCTGCACATCGAAATATTTTTGCAGGTATGGCCAAGAAACCTGTACTGAATAAACCATGTTTTCTCAAGGCAATTTCATGTCCCCGTCTTTCCTCCCAATATTGCATCAATTAGGATGCATGTGGCCATGAAGCGCTGGCTGTTTTCAGCAAATTTAGTAAATCGTCAAGAAAATGAAGCGTTACAGTAACGCCACATACTTTTACCATGAAAAAGGAACTAGTTACCAGTTCCGTAACCCTCCCTTAAAAAGTAACTCGTTACCTTAAAAGTTACTGAAAAAAGTAATTAGTTGCTGTAACGCGTTACTTTTACTTCGTTACCGCTCAACACTGCCAAGACGATCATGAAGATAATGACAGCTCTGAGAAGGTGACTCATGGCTATGGGAGAGAAGTCAGTCTGAGAGAGAGCCGCTTCCCTCTCCCTCTTGTGGTTTGTTATCTTTAGGAGTTTAATTAAAGAGGAAGGAACTATGCGACCTTATTGAGAAAGGAACCTGAATTTACTTTTGTTAGTATCAGTGTTTTGGAGGCTTAGTATTTGGATCCACGAGAGCGCCGAAGAGGAGTGCAATCTATAGGGCCCTAGCAGTTTTACTTCATAAGTCAGTGAGACGGGATTTTAAGTCGATATTATATTTCCGGTTCATTCTGACAGAAAAGGTTAAGGACACTTGTGCCTAAGATCACGGTGGGTTTGCGCTTTTCAGAGGGAATATGAGTTTATTTCTGGCCTGGCCTCCATGATTCAGTCAGGAATATGAGGATAGCAAATAAGGAAGTGTCCAAGTATATTGATTACTACAATGAAGATAGGCGTGACATATGGGGAGGTACAAAGCATTCCTGTGAAGGACGCTTCCATGAATAGAGCGATGGGCAATTTTGTATTCTGAGGGAAATGCGAGACACATGACTCCATCTAGTGGCCAAGAGGAGAACTTCAAACGGAACCCTATCGGTTTTATAAGGAACTCTATAGGTTCTATAGGTATCCTTAGGTCCCACATGGAACCTATAGAATTCCTACATGTTCCTATAGAACATATAGGAATCATATAGGGGGAGAGGAAGGCAGATGGATTTTAATGACATTTTGAGGATTAAAGGTTTAACAAGGTTGGATCGGATAGTCAGGAAAATTCCACTCTGTGATGAACCTTCATATAAGCAAAAGTGATCCCCGAAAGAAAATCACTCACTCTGGAGACAATGGTATTGGCGACGACATGGAGGTTCTTGCGATGCTTCCCGGGGACCAGATACGCCAAGGCCGCACTATATCGGATTCCATCCTTGTTCGCTTGCTGCAGCCTGCTGAATCCTGCGCAGAAGCGCTACGGTCGTGAAGAGAGCGTTTGGAATGACTCGCGCGTTTCGTCTTGACCTACCCCTTTGAGAGGCGCCGTTGTAGTCGCGGTTGTGCGGGAAGCCCAGACTCTCCCCCGCCTCAATGAACGCTGGCAAGAGCTCGGAGAAGTAGGTGTAGGATACGGGGAAGTACCCACGATATCTGTTACCCTCGTGGTAAATGGCATCTCCTGCGACAAACAAGCTTCGAGAATGAATCAATCTAATATTGTAGGCAACAGAGGTGCTCGGCGTTCGAAGAAAAATGTCACCCCACCCTTATCCTGCTGCGCATCTTTCTCGCAAACTGACGGAACACATCAGAACCCGTTGAGACTGAAAGTTGCAGAAAGGTGAGTGACTCATTAAAATTATGCATAATATGTGAAACACACCAGGTGTAACTCAGAAAGGGGAATTTCGCTGTTTCCTTTTACTTCGGGTGTTGCCATGCGGCCTACAATTTCAGTCATTAGACGTTCTTGAACATGCAATTTGTTTGGATTGAATATACTGATGGAACAATCAGAAACACATTTTGTTCAAGAGCTAGGACAACCAAGCCTTTTTCGTATATGGGCAAGGGTTAAAGTGGTTCAGAGTCTGATGATGATGATGGATAGGACTGGTCTCAGCTTTGCTTTTTGGTCCGTGAAGTAAAAAAATTCAAAATTTAAAACGGATTGCGAAATCGCATTTCTTTCGACAGGTGTTAAACCGAATATCGTATTATTCACTTTTCATATACTTTCCGAGTAGGGTCAAATTATCCGAAGCAAAGTTCCCCCGGGAAACCAGTTGCTTTCCTAAATCAATTATCATTGTTAGAATTTCTGGATTTGATTCATTTAAATGTGATATTATTCTTAAAAACAACCTTGAATTTATATCGGTCACTAGCCCCTATCCTCGGGAATCCCTCGACGAACCATACCAGAGGTTTCACCCTCGGTCCTGAAACACTTAGGGCAGTCTTACCGGTAGGAACGTCTTTCACGAGGAAGTTCTCAGCCCTAAGGAAAAGCGGGAGGAGGTCTCTGAAGGACCAGCCAGGATTCCCCAACGCGGCCCAGTTGTCGTAGTCCTTGTGGTTCCCTCGGGTGTATATGGCGCCGTTCAGGGCAGAACTTCCTCCCATCATCCGACCCCGGAACCAGCGGCATCTCTGCAGATGGAAGAAACGTAAATATGCCTATTTTGAAAATTCGGTCAGATACTTGAGGATTTGCAACGAGCATGCCTCAAACTCACAGGTCTGCTAAAACGGGTGATAGAGGAGAGAATATAAGGTGTATTCCTATCTGGAGGAGGACCTAAGACGGATGAAATTGAGAACGCTGACTTCTTTTTCTAGCCTTATTTAAAGAATGTCTCGTTGCGTCGTGATGAGCCCCTAATGACGAACTACGTAAAGGTAGGTAAATCGAGTGGCCTGAAGAAAAAGCAAAATCTTTTACTGGAAATTTAATAATAATGAATTACCTCGTGCGTGTTGAGAATCCATTTTGCCATTTTCCTCGGCCCCATGTAGCAGTTTCTAATTTAAGTTGTCGGATTACTGACTATTTGCTGAATCAGGCTGGAAGGATCAGTGCATGATCAGTATATGATTTGTATATGACTTATATCCCTTACGAAAATGCCTTCTAGGATTCCTATACATTCCTAAAAGAATATATAGGAATCCAATAGGTTCCTATAGGGTTCATAGGGAACACTATAGGCCCCATAGCGTTCTGTTTGGGACGTATATGGTTCCCTATAAAACCTAAATCCTCTACCGAACGAAGTGGACGTGCTTTTCTGCGCAATCCAGCGACATATGTGGGCCTGGGCAATAAATTATGCAGACCTAGGCAGTACTAGTATTGGTAATGCAAGTGCCCCTACCATGGGGAAACCCCTAATCGGTATTTGATTTTCTCCAAAATACTGCGCCAATATTGACCGCGGTAGTCATTCCCGTCGGAGTGCCAGCCCTTACGAAAATGTCTTATAGGATTCCTATATATTCCTAAAGGAATATATAGGAATCCAATAGGAATCCTATAGGAACCTAAAGTAATCCTATAGGATCCTATATGCCCCTTAGAGTTCAGTTTGGGACCTATAGAGTTCCCTATAGAACCTATAGATTCCCCTATTGTGTAGGAGGTACTTTTATAAAGATGATGAAATCACAGTAAAAGATAATGCGCATGTCCGGCATAACGGAATAAAAGGGGCGCGCGAGAGAGTAGCGTCGGGTCGGGTCGAGTCAGGTATGTCAAGTGAGTGAGTCGGGCAAGGGAGTCGAATTGTAGAATAGTGAGGAGAAACTTGAGAGAAGACGCGGGATATTGAGTGGACCCTTGACGTCAGTGCTGGAGATCGTATGCTGTCTGTCACCCCACCGATACCACACGGGTTTATATTCAGGTATTGCTCATTGAGTATCTATGGTCTAATAAGCGGTTAGGGGAACAGAATTTTGAATTTTTGCCCCATATCCATTTCCTGGTTCTCATTATTATTGACCTCTTTCCAAGCTGGTTGTCACAATAAAGTAGTTGTATATTTAAGGAGTCAACGGAGTCATTATAAACCTCGAACACGCTGGCGATCTCTTCGTGATAGTCATTAACGTTAAATCACGTCGGAGCCGCCTACAATAGAACCTATAGAGTTCCCTATACAACCTATAGATCCCCCTATAGAACCTAAAGGGTTCCCCATAAGGCCTATATATTCCCTATAGGACCCAAAGGGTTCTGTATAGGACCCGTAGGGTTCCCTATAAAACACATAGAGTTCTCTATAGGACCTATAGGATTCTCTATAGGACCTATAGGGTTCCCTATAAGGCCTATAGCGTCCCTATAGGACCAATAGGACCTATAGGGTTCCCTATAGGGCTTATACGGAACCCTATAGGCCTATAGGGTTCCGTTTGAAGTTCTCCTCTAGGCCACTAGATGGAAGTATTGGGTTCTCACATTTCTCAAAGGGCACAAAAGTGCCTCCCCTTATCAAAGGAATCATCTCTCACAAGAGAGTTTTGTACGTCCCCAAATGTCTCGCCTTGCCTCATTGTAGCAATCAATTAACTTTGACAGTTCCTTATTTGTCATGCCCATTTTCCAGATATAATCATGGAATCCCGTGAAGAAATATGCCCTAATTCTTTTTGAAGGCCATGTACGAAACGAAGTAGACTCTATCCAAATGGAGTTTCAGTAAAGAGACGTGCTCGCAGGTTCTGTCTTCTATTTCCTTAGGTGGAGAGAAGAATACCCCTTCTTCTTATCGAAGGAAGTAGATGTACGATCCAGCGACGCATGTTGGATGGGCTCATGAATTATGCAGGCCCCCGCAGTATTGGTATTAATAATGGATGTCTCCCTACCATGGAAAAAGCCCTAATCGGTTTTTTATCCACACCGAAATGCTTCGCCAATATTAAGCCCGGTCGCTTTTTCGTCGTAATGCCTGGTTTTCGAAACCCAAATTATGCTCCCCGAATCCTATAGGTCAGGAGACCTATAAGACCCTATAGGAATCCTATAGGATCCTTAAGGATCCTATAGGTTTTTCGTGTTTCAAAAACCTATAGAAAAGTCTATAGGTTTCCTATAGGACATTTCCGTAAGGGATATGAGCAGTTTATGGGAAAGTCTCCTCTCTCAGGGACGGAGTTCACGAAAGAAAAGAATTGCTTCAATCGGCAACTCCCCGCACTTGTTCATATTCGCTCCGCATCCCGTTCACAATTATGGGAAAAAGTTGTTCTCTCTCGGAAGATGAAGGAACAATTTTGCATATTATATCAGCTCCAAGTAAGTAGAATGACTTCGTTTTCCGAGAATTTTTTTTTAACTGCAGCCCCAAACAACCCCCACAACCAAGAGCCTTCCAGTATTTTCAAAATCTCTGAGAAAACCATTCATACAAGGGAAACCGTGAGCGAAATTTTCCCTTCATGACGTTAAACAATACGGGATGAAAAAAAAAGAGTATTCACCTATTTTCCGACCAAACCTCCAACCACAGCTGCGGAATTTCTCCTTAATTTGAGGAGTGTCCTAATAAAGCGGAGAAAGCTCGAGGCCACGGGAGGACGAAGGAACTCCTTGCCTATGGTGGAGTTTCTGAATGAGTTTTAATAACTGGTTCAGCGAGTATTGGATGTTTTCTGAATTACCTTTTTTTTTAAGCTGAGCGGCTACGTGCACAACCGTTTGCATCCCTGTGAAGAGTGATTTGAACATGAAACATGAAAATTAATAGATTTATTTCGCTTTACAGAATTTTTTTCGCTCGTGGATGATCGTTTTCACAACCCCTACGGGAATCAATTAATGATGCGTAATTTATCACGTTTTCATTTGGTCGACTCGCCTATTCACTGTTCACGGAGCGGACTCAACCATGATAGGGTCCAGAGTCACCATATACATATTTGCAAGTTTTTCAATTTCTCTGATTTTCAACCGGTTTCACACCTTCTTTCATGATGATGCAAGATTCTATTGTCAAACTGATACCGGCAGATGCCATTTCGGTTTCAATATATGTGTAATAAAGTCTACTGTGGTCCGTGGCATGCGCACACGCACACACGCGCAGAGCGTGGTCGCGTGCGCTCTCCCATAGCCACTGCGATGGCAGCGTGGCCAAAGACCACTAACATTCGAAAAGGTGCGCAGCAGGCTGCATCCACAGAGCAGGGGCTGCCTAGTCCACATACCGCACTAGCCCACAACACCACGATGTTAATTGAACAACGAGCTTTGTTGTTTCGGTTGCCTTTTATCCTCACTCGGCGTTGGTTCTCTTCTTCAATTCTCATGACCCTCCCGCAAGAAATAGCAATGCGCTGGGAATGCCTTCGAGAAAATTGAATTTTTTTGCAGAGCCCAGTCTTCTCACATGTGGTCAGGTCCCATGTAAGAGAGAGGAGTGACTTAATATTCATGGTCATCAATAGGCAGAAGACTGACAGCTAATTAGATGATGGTGTCTACGCCGACAAACTAGCGATTAATGAGATTCTAAGACAGTAACCATGATGTCAATTTCTCACCGAGGAAATCATTTGCTTGAGGAACACATGATTTTAACAGTTAATTATGATGCATCAGTAACAATAATAATTGCAGTTAAAATTCTTCCGTGTTTTTGCATGAGCTAATGACTCGTTGTGATACTTTTCTTCCGTCACTGTGGTGCCACAAGGAACTTGTCGATGGGTCTCAACGCTACTATAATGTTGTCGGATCTGCATTTCACGCATATTATGGCGCATGCAGGACGGAAAGCATTCCGGTTGAACTGCCTTCGTATGGCAACGTGAAAGTGGATTTATGCTTAATGCCCGTGGCGCCAAGGGTCTCGTATCAACTACCGTCCCAAGCGTAGTGTACCACTTAGTTCTGCATCTCAACGAACATCCATGCTTGAAAAAAATACGTGATATTGTTCGATTCCATTCTCCACCACAATTGAGACACGCAAGTAAACACGAAATGAAGACCGACACTCGGAACTGATCAGTAGATTTCACCAAAACCCCCGTTCTGAGTGACTGGACTCACCCCTCCTTCCAGAGCGAGGCAGGAATCCTCCTGAGGCTCGCTGGTGTAGCGGTAGTCGAAGTTGGAGTCCCACCACATCAAGGGGCCGGCTGCAGGGATCAACGAGAGCACGTTTCCGTCCGACCCAGCCTCGAGTACCAGGACCTTCACGCGAGGGTTCTCCGTCAACCGACTTGCAATCACGCTTCCTGTCGTCCCTCCTCCCACTTCGCGATGAACATGAAAGCATAGGGGAAATTTTTGCCATCAATATTGATTGAGTTGAATTTAAAGTTTCATTTTTAAAATAATTCATTTATGCTCTCGATAGGAAGTCGTTCCCTTAATTTCCACCTTATAGTTACAAATATGACATACATATTATATTTTCATTGTGGGGATTGGTATGTGAACCTTGGCATCTGTTTCTAACACTGTCCGTCATGCATAATTACCACATTTTTTAACGGTCATGCCCCACATTGTGCATTGTGAATTGCGATGAATCCTGGACACTGGGAAAAATCGATTTCGTGCTGAATACCACTTCGCACAATACCAAGTTCGCCAATTACCCAAGTTTGCGGAATCTACGGAAGCGGTATTACAGCGATTCGGTCGCGACCCACTCGAGTCGCCTACCACCTATAATGGTGCACTCCTGATGGGAGCCATTTTCAACCCCGATTTCATCAGAAGCATCCTCTCTTCTCTGAAGGCTGATTTTTCCCGTTCGTAATGATATTCTGTTCTGTCCCTTCATTCCTGATGCCGCATTCCCGCGCCAGCCCTTGACCACAATCAGATAATTGAGTCATTGTATTACCCGATCCTGACGCAAGATTAAGACCTTCGCTATAATCGGGCGAATGATGCGATTTCCAAACCAACCAAACGACATATTCACCTTGACTCAGTCTGAGGAAGGGAATCTGCCATAAATTCATGAAATTGTTTTGCGATCGTTCTGATACCTGTCCCTCAGAGGTAAAACCGGTCCGGAATCGCTGCACACGTCGAAGGACCGATTTTCGCGTTTTACTCGTTTACATGCGCAAAAGAATCACAAATCTACAATAAGTTCCATTAATAATTATAAATCTTTTCCTGCATTTCCCGCCTCGGAGCAAGAATCAAGGGATTTTTCCAACTGCGTGGATTCCGGAGTCGTCTGGCGGGTGGATACGTGCTCGCTGACACGCTCCCCGTTCTTTTCATCATTATGAATACGAGGTGATGATGCATTGCATCACTCTGGGAATATGACAGGCGCCTTACGCACTGAGATACTACATTGCCAGCCAAACTCTCATTCAATATGCTAGTCTGATGAGGGCTGAGACAACACTGCCGAACGGTCAAATCTGTCAGTCCATGGAATGAAAATAATTTTGTGATATTGACAGAATCACAAAAATCGCACAAAAAACAAACAGCAAATTAAATACGATGCAAACTTCACTACTTCACTCACTATTTTTTAAATGGCGTTTAATGATTTTTTCCGGCTAAAATGTTGATTAAAAATGCCCCCAAGTCGAATCTTAGCCGGATATTTATGACGAACATATGCAAACACAAAACAATGTCACTTCCATGTTATAACTATTAATTACCTGTTACACTAGTGCATGCACTAATTTCAAGACCTAATAGGTATCGAAATATATTTAGGTTTGCCTCCTAACAGCTCTTGGACATTGTTTGCTATACACACCTTACCACTATTAGTGCGAGGAAAAAACACGGTCTGGCAATCTCTCGACACTCGCCCAGGGCGACATCTGACAGGAGTTAACAGAGAAATGCCAAGACACTTTGTGCCATGAGGCTTCGTCAAAGGTGGAGTCGAACTTCGGTGGCCAAAAGGTTGAGGTATTCCCTATCGTTCACCATCCCGTCTCCTTCGTGCTTCGAAATCACCTGTCCGCTCGAGGAGGCTATTAGACTGCTCGTTGCACATTCATGCAACGGGGTTAAAGTATTTTTTTATTCGTCTGGTGTTTCACTGACCTATGATGAAGTCGTAGGAATCCTTGATCTCTGGCCTGCCGAAGTCGAAGGGATTGTCCAAATCGTTGAATTGCATAAGTTTGCTGGAGAAGATGAAGCCAAGGGCCCAAGCGAGGTTCCTCATCCAAGACATGATGATCTGTTCAAAGTTCAATCTGCTCACGGTTTAACCTGTTCACGGTTCCTGGAAACGGAATGCTTATGCAATGAGGAATATCGCACGAATCTTTTGGTGCATTTCAGGTGAAGAGGATGCAATAGTCCACAACTTTTTGGGGAACTTCTGAAGGCGCTCTCCTGTTTATTCATCAAATTTAATTATCTGCTTCCTTCCCGACAGCCAGCATTGTCAATGACCTTGACTGCCACGTATCTCCAATATCGCCCAGAAGCACTCGTGAGGAACAATGCGATTTGAGCAAATGGGTGTTCATCACTTAATTTTTTTTTACATTTTCTAGCCCAACTGCAAGGGCCGTTGGAACATATGTAATCATCTCGCTCCCTTGGAAACCGCAAGCGGATCAAGCGGAGAATGACTTGATTCTTGACAATAACCGATAGATTAGGGGACGATTCGTGGCGTATGTTCAGCCTTGATACCCAGCTTCCCCGGCGTTATTTTGTCGTTGCGACTGCAAAATACATAAAATTTAATGGACCACGGTTCGTCGCTGTTCGCTCACCGAGGTCGATGAAAAGCTGGCAAAGCAAAAAGTAAATGTTTGCTTTCGATGAACTTTTTTTTTAGCAAAAAATTTACGTGTGTCAAACTGCGACTAATGAGAAATTAATGCACGCATAACACGTGTTACACACCTGCTTCCTATTCCCGTCTCCTAATGTCTCATCCTCTTAACTCACCTCATCTCTTTTCCTTCGTTGAATTCGAGGAGAAAAAACAAAAAATTTCAAACTATTGCGACACACAAATTGAACACATAAAATTTAACTCTTTCACATCAAGTTCATTCGTAACCCACATCGAATCTTTCCTAGAAACTGGTAAAACTCCATTTCCCATCAACAGCCAACATATTTATTTTTCCCCCCCAGCGAAATCCCCTCGAACCGACCGCTCCAAGAAAACTTCAAATACCAGTAGAATACGAGAAGTCGTCTCACTGTCCATAAAGACAGAGCATCATCGCGTCGCCACAAGGCCTCGCAAAACGCGTCCACTCATCTCCCTTTCATAGCGCACTTCTGCAGTAACACAAAAAGACAGCCACACCGAAAGACAGCCCCCAATTCCAACTCGAAGGAGTCATCCTGCGACCCCAGTCACAACACAAAGAAGACACAATCGGAACTCGCCCGAAACCCAACAAAGACCTCCACCACACCATCTCACGAACAGCCCAAAGAGATGAATATCCCATAAGAAGCTTCCAAGGAAGTCAGCCCCAGTAATTACAACATTCTTGCATCACAGCTCCGCCCAAATCACGATGGAAAATTTGGGCGACCTTGAGTTATCTCTGATGGTGATCGCAAGGTGATCCACATTTTATATAGAGACGTGAAACCTCCCTCGCCCAGGTACTAACATGCTCACGACCAGGAATGAAGTCCTCGTGAGTACTCGTGCCAATGCGGTTCCGATTGATCGAACCAGTACCGAAACAAGTACAGGGAGTTGTCCTAGAATATTGATTCATTGCACCGCATTTTGTGACACTAATGAGGGCATGTAAAGGGCTCCCAATATATATCAATTACGATACACTATGCTTCCCTCCCGTCGGTGATTCTAACGATGGGTCTCAGGATTTCTTTCGCGGTATGAAAGAGAATGCAATCCAAAATCTGACAGGGGGGACTCAACGTCTCAACCCAAGGCTGGATGCACCAGGATTTTAAGCTTTATCCGGGGAGAACCTATCCAGGCATTCCAGATCATTAAGCGAATGTGAACGTGGCAGCATTTCCGAAGCGATGCAACCGGACGGGGGAGGACCGGTTGGACGTTGCGCAAGCGTCGGATGAGACTCGAGGATTCATTGGGTTGGGGGAAGCTCTTTAACTATTCTCGTCCTTTCCATGATTACCTTTAAGTAAGGGTTCTTCCTGCTGATTTAAATAAATTTTCGGGCTCGTAGTGCCTTCACGAGAGAATTCGTTCTGAATCCAGGGAATCAGGTGCGAGGAAGCAGAAAGCGGGTCATTGCCTGGGTTTAAAGGCCAGGAAATTAATAGAAAATATTGAGTTATTTTCATGCACCACTAAACAAAAAAGAGGGAAATTATGTTCATGGACGTGAATGTAGATGCATGTTCCCGCCAAGGAATGTATCGAATTATATCGTCAAATTCACAGAAAAAAAATTCACGATTTTGAGGGCTGCAATTCAAGGATTCCAATTTCGAATGTTCTCTATTCCGAAAAAAAAATGCAGAGCCCATTGACAATTGGCAAGTGTCAATTGACTTCATCCATAGAAAATTTCCCCCCCAACTATTCCCCGCCCTTCAGAGCTTGAAATCGATTGGTCTTCCCACGACGTCGAATATGCAACATCATCTAGTGTTGCGGATAATAATAACCAAAGTAATTACATTTAAAATGAAGCTACAGGCCGTTAATGGCAATTTAAACCTGGCAGCTGGGAAATATCACTCAGACGTCCTCGTATCTGCGTAAATGAGGCTGACGGGATTGCTAAGGGGTGGTTGGGTACAAACTGTTAACACGGATTCCCAAGGTCATCAGGAGACTTTTGCATAAAAGGCACAAGAAATTGAATCAACATGAAATCAACGTCCTGAGGTTAGATCATTTATTTAATGTTAATTGAATGTTTTGTGCCACTTGGCATTGGACCTTTACTGAGAGGGAATCCATTTAAAGGATACACCTGTTTCATCAGCTGCCTGAGGCGAGTTAGATTTCGTCAGACAAGCTCATTTACAGCCACATTTCATTTCTTTCCCTTTCTAGAGGCTCAAGGGTAATGACATCGTTCATTAATGAAGAAAAAAAAGTGTCGGAATTCGTTGAATTTGATTCTCATTTTGGGACGGATCCTGCTGAGAGGTTTCCCAGTCAGCAATTTCTCCCCGCGCCGAGTTCGGCTTACCCCCGAGATTCGCGTTTTAAAAGGTTTGGGCCAAGTGCATCAGCCCACACTTACATCCATAGGCCAAGTGTGGCCTATGGGTGGGGCAGGTAATTGACAAAAATAACTTGGCTGGTCTTGTCTGCACGTGGAAGCATGGCACCAACGTGGCGTGTATATAGGCCTCTCCATAAATGTCATTTTTTCCTAGGGCAACCCGGAACCAGCAATAGGGGGAGACATTTCTATCCGCAGTACTAGTACTGCAGGTACAGGCATAACCCGCTTCGCAAGCAAGAGTCTGACCCATGGAAAGGCAGGAGGTAAATGATAACACAAGAGTTGACCTACCCCATCATCATCCAAATTAGGCTGACTTTCTCGCTCGTGCAGCCAAACATAGAAAGAATGCGGCTTGCTTGATGTGCCTCCTTCCTGTTTTCTCTGAGGTTATTTAGTTAGGGTATATGGCTAAAACGCAAAGTCACTGCGTGAAAAAGTGTGAGTGTTGAGTTTTCTTTGGGGCATATGTCATGAGGACCGGAAGTAGGGGAGACTGACAGAACTGGGAAAAAAAGAATTAGAGAGCGGACCGGGACTTGAATCCGGGACTCCTGGCTCTCGGATTCATGGCGCTACCAATACACCACCGAACACATTACATTATTTGTGGAACGTTTTAAACCATGACAATCAATATGAGAACAATCTCACCTTCACCAGATTTCTCCTTCATGGTTAGGTGATTCGGTAAACTGCGTATTATATACGTGGATTCCCTTTGAAAACCACGTACGAGAAAAAGTAGATTATATCCGAAAGGAGTTTCAGTAAGGAAGACGTGTTCGCAGACTATGTCTGCCGTTTCCTTAGGTCGAGAGAAGAATGATACTTCTCTCCATAGAGTAGAGAGTGTAACAAGAGGCGACAATCCGAGTGGTAGGTCAGGGTCGAAATATTACAGAGACGTCTGGTGGCTTGCTATCAACTAAACTTCCATTGTGCGTGCCTCGTGGCAGCGGAATCGGGAATCGACTCGTTAGGGGATTCGACACAAAGGGATCAGTCACCGTAACACGCGTGTCTCGTTGAGACACTCGTTAAAAGGACGAAGGCGAGAAGATTTGTATAAATGTATTCCTAGTAAAATCGAATATCCAGTGGAAATGGAGCACTCATTCGGCACCCGCTTTGGAGGCAAGGAGAGTCGGCACTCTTTCGGCCATCATAGGTTATAGGAAGACTTGATGAGATCGGAGGCCTTCTCCCCGATGACGATGCAGGCGCTCATCGGGTGCCCCGTGATGATCACCGGCATGATGGATGCGTCTGCGACCCGTAGATTCTTCAGTCCGTAGACCCTGCTCGGTTGATGGAGAATGAAGTCATTCGAGACGGGTTGGAGTCATTTGACTTAGTCTATCTGATAGAGTGATACCTGAGGGTTGGGTCCACCACAGCTCCGGGATCGGTGGGAGGCCCCATCTTACACGTGCCGACATCGTGAATCTACTCCCTGCACTTAACCGCCTACACTGTAAGGGTCATGGACAGGCACTTGACAAAGTCTACGAACGTTGGACCGTCCCCCGCCGACATCTTAAACCGAGGCTTGAAAAACTTGCGACCTACGAGTCCCAGTCGGAGGGCCATGCGGATGGCTGTCGAATGTCAAGAGCAGAATGTGAGATTGATATTTTCCCCTTTTTTCCCATTTCCATTAGAATCTATGCAAATCTTGGAGGATGCATGTGTGCATGTATGCACCTTCGAAACACGATACCTCTAGTTGTCCTACAAACTTCTTTAAAGGATATTAATAGCCTACCAGCGCCTGCAACCATGACGCATCGTTTTAGAAGGGGGCTGAAAAACCGGCGACTTGTTCTCCCTTTTAAAGAAAGCCTGGTTTCTGCAGCAATCCCCTGTACGTCGTCCAAGCCTTAAGAGAAACACAAAATTTAATCAAATTCGAGTAGCGGTTGGTATCGGGGAATCTCGAAGGGCGGACCTGGTCTCCGAGTCCGATGACCCGTCGATAGACAACCCCTCCGTCGGTGCCCATCGTCTGGGTGTTGAAGAGAAACTCCATGTCCGGCCACTCCGGGTCGGGGGCGAAGGACGTGTTCACGAAGGCAATGCCCTCGAATCCGGCAGACGTCGTGAAAGGTCCTGGAACGATGCGAGCATGAATGGCACGGATTGTTGGGGGAATGGAAGGAATGTCGTATTTATGACGATTTTCCGACATGTTGGCCGTGCGTTGACGGCTGTGACCGGGGGAACAGGTGCCGGCTCAAGGAGCAATGTGGTCACATTCTTTAGCGCTGTTTCTGCTCTCCGACAAAAATTACATTGCGAAATGGAATTTTCAGTCTTCCACAGACGCTTCCTCCGTTTCTCTGCTTGGAATTTTCTCTGAGGATCGCTACCAAGGGGGGGTTTAGGGGGTCATAACCCCCCCCCTGGGCTTCCTGGTCAGTGAGAGACCGGCTTATATCGGCCTTCCTTGGGAATTCCAGTTTTAGCTATTCAGTTCGAAGAAAGACTAAATCCACAGATCCAAGATGCCAAAATTTACCTTCAAAAGTGTAAATGCCGGGTGGTGGAGCTATTCGTTGGGTCCTTTTGGCCTCAACCCCGATTTCCTGCCTTGGTAGCAATCAGTCGCAACCCTTACGAAAATTCCTTATAGGATTCCATTATATTCTTTTTGGAACAAATGGGATTCCTATAGGAACATATAAGAATCCTATAGGTTCCTATAGGGCCTATAGGGAACACTATATGCCCTATAGGGATCTGTTTGGGACCTTTATGGTTCCCTATAGGACCAAAGGGTTCAGTATAGGAAGCGTAGGGTTCCCTATAAAACCTATTGGGTCCCCTATAGGGTCTGAACGGTTCGCAATATGACCTATAGGTCTCCATTTAGAACCTATAGGACCTATAGTGCTCCATTTGAAGTTCTCCTCTAGGTCACTAGATGGAGGCACGGGGTTTTCGCATTTCTCAAAGTACACAAAAGTGCTTCCCCTTAGCCTTGGAATCATCTCTCACAGGAGAGTTTTGTATTACATCCCCAAAATCTCGCCTCGCCTTATTGTAGCAATGAATAAACTTCGACACCTCCTTATTTGTCATCCGCATCTTTCAGATAGAATCATCCCAAGCAGCATGTTTACGTAAACAAGATATCAATTCCTTGCAAACAATGTAAATTTATTGCGATTGCCATGAAAATGACATCACGTTTACGTAAAATTTACGTTCCTACATTTACGTCACCGGCACACCATCCATNAGATATCAATTCCTTGCAAACAATGTAAATTTATTGCGATTGCCATGAAAATGACATCACGTTTACGTAAAATTTACGTTCCTACATTTACGTCACCGGCACACCATCCATATGAAACTTTAGCTGACCATTCCGCAGTTGCAGTACCAAGATTCCTCACTAGATGGAACCTTCGTTCCCTGCATCCTACAAATTCTATTAAGTACTGCCTTTCCTGATAGAATATTAGATTTTCTTACCACCCTTCCACTTTTTATTATGCAATCCATGAATGTATATATGGAAATCATGAAATTATAAATTTTTTCACAATATATGACTCCAGGAATCATTAAATGCTGAAGTTAAGCTTTTTATTACAGCATTGTACGAGATTAGGGAAGAGTAAAATCCCAACAGTGCTAAATCTTCGCTACCCTAAATGGGAGAGAGCTCCTTGAATATCTACTCCTCCTCCCGAGGTTCCAATACGGGAGGAGGAAGTGGTAGGTCGTTTTGGTACTCTTGAGTGCTGATGAGAATGAGTGTACTCATCCAACCACTCTTGTGTTCTGAAGGAAAGGAATGGGAGATACAGTATATCAATTATTTTCAAAGGTGATGATTGACTCGTTAAAGACACATGAATGCTAGAGGGAAATTAACATAAATCTTACGTAAAATCAACGTAAAGATACTGTTAGGAATGCAAACTGGCATACCAATTTTACGTGAAATTGACGTTAATTTTATATCACCGCTTACGTATCACAGAGGTGACATTTCTGCTAACATGTTGGCATTATCTTGACAATGGTTTGCGTAAAAATGATATATCAATAAAATGGACAAAAAATTTACAGTCAATTTACGTAAAATTAACATAAACATGCTGTTTGGGATGGAGTGCAGGCCAGAAATATGCCCATTTTCCTCATGAAAACCAAGTACGAGGAAAACTAGTTTTTATCTGCAAGGAGTTTCAGTTAAGAAACACGTTCGCATGTTCTGTCTGTCGTTTCCTTAGGTCGAGAGAAGAATTATACTTCTCTCTACCGAAGGAAGTGGACGCGCAATCCAGTAACATATGTCGGCCTGGGCAATAAAATATGCAGACCTGCGCAGGTTCTATTGTTAGTACTGCAAGTTCCCCCACCATGGGAAAACCCCTAATCGGTAATTTATTTACACCAAAATGCTGCGCCAATATTGACCCCGGTTGCCATTCTGGTCCCCCCGGTTGCCATACCAGGGTTTCGAAATCCAAAAAATACTCCCCGAATGCTATAGATCAGGAGTCCTATACGTTCGACAATCTCCATAGTACAAATAAAATGAACCGCGAAGGGCAAAAATACTTAATGGTCTAAATTAATAAGAATTACTTAATGTGAAAGGAAAAATGCGGCAAAACCTGGGAATAAATATTTTAAATATATGTCGTTTTATTTAAAATAAAGATTTAAAATAAACCTTGAGACTTGCTGGCAAAGAGACGCATTTCCCAAAGTTCGTTCAGCCGTTTTAATGCTAGAAATATTTTAAATGCTAGTTTTTTTTATCCTTGCGTCAACTTCTTCCTTCACCTATTCATGCTTTTAATATTCGTATCGCCAATCGCTCTCCACTGAAGCCGGAGCACTTAAAAAAATTCAAGACGCATGCGATTGCATTACGCGAAAAACGGAAAAGGCAGAGATACCTTCTCCTCTCAAGACGAATTGGAGAACGGTGGAAACGAAGTCAGTAGTGAATAGGCGGGGAAGCATGAATCCAGTTGACTTCTCGATGCTGAAGTAGATTCCGCCGGACCCGTAGTGACTTTGCATGTTCTCTCCCACTCGAAGGTCCAGGAAAGGACGAATCTGCACGTAAAAAGTTGTTTGACAGCGAATTGAAATTTTACATTACAATAGATTATGAACAATGATGCATCAATAAATAGCGGTCGTTACCCTTACGGAAATGTCCTGTAGGAAACCTATAGACTTTCCAATAGGTTTTTGAAACACGAAAAACCTATAGGATCCTATTGGATCCCTATAAGGTCGTATAGGATTCCACTATATTCCTAAAGGAATATATAGGAATCCTATGAGGCATTTTCGTAAGGGTATGGCCCCAGAGGCATGCAACGCTTTTCACTACCCAGTCCAGCTCCTGCTGATTTTATATCCTAAAATATTTATTTTTCTCTTCAGAAAGTAGTCACAGCATAGTGGATGCCTTCTGCTCGAGATGAAGAATGTACATGCGAGATTAAGGCATTCGCAGAGGATAGAAGTTGAGACCCACCCCGTGTCTTCGCAGTTCTTCCTTGGGTCCGATGCCGGAGAGCATGAGGATCTGAGGAGAAGCAATGGCCCCGGCCGATAGGATCACCTCCTTCCTCGCCGATACGAAGCGCTTTGTTCCGTCTTCAGCCAAGTACTCGACCCCCTTCGCTGTCTTCGTACTTTCGTCTATCACGATCTGGTTTGTAGAAGATTTGTAGAAGACCGAGAATTATTCAGACTAGTCCCGAATCAATGAGCTGGATGAAAATCGATGCGCCTGAATGCCATCGAAAGAGGCGCATGCCCACTATCCTGCTGTCAGAACTACTTGTTCATATTTGAATACCATAGAAAATGGTACGAGTTATCAATAATTAGAAAAAATCCATGTATTTCGCTGATTCTGACTTCAATGTCGGTCATGGACCTTGTGAAGAAAGTTGGTTGGTGAAAAGAAGTTAAGATTCCTTTCTCATTGGAACTTTGCTCGATTTGATTCATTCTTATAATAAGACTAATCCAGGGAATGAATTTCCAATAACTAGCGACCATATACAAACCGATAGAATTTTATGGACTACAGTATAGTACTCTTATATGGTACTATAGGATTCCTGACCTATAGGATTCGGTCAGTTTTTTGTGTTTCTAAGCCCTGGCATTACAACCGGGATTAGTACTAATTGGGATAACCCCCGGGGGTTGATATTGGCGCTGCTTTATGCTGTATCTTCAGTACTCCCTGCACTTGTATAGCTCTCGGTCCCTATGCAGAGACATGCAGTATATCTCTTGGAGGGACATGGTGACGTATCCGTCAGCTCATATCCTTCCATAAAGAGAGAATGACCATTCTCCACTTTGTTTAAGGGAACGACTCTCAAAACTGAAACTCCTTTAGGATAATAAGAACCTTACTTTTTTTAAATTAAAGATAGGAGCGAAAGGTATGGTGGGCCCATTGTCATATGATGTACCGACACGTGACTCAAACATACCATGGTGAGATCCTCCCAACATGAGGTCTAACAGAGAGCAAGACCCTCATGAAGCTAATGACGCAGCTGTGAGAAGGCGACTCATGGATATAGGGGAGAAGTTAGCCTGAGAAGAGCTGCTTCACCACAATTTTATTTAAGTCGATGTTCTATTTACAGTTCCTCCTGTTGGAAAGGTTATAGCTAGATTCTCGGATGGTCCTGGGGGTTTGCGCTTTTCAATGGGAATATGGGCTTATTTCTGGCCTGGCCTCCATGATTCAGTCTGGAGTATGGGGATAGCAAATAAGGAAGTGTTCAAGTCAATTGATTGGTACAATGAAGATAGGCGAGACATATGGGGAGGTACAAAAAATTCCTGTGAGAGATGCTTCCATGTATACAGGGATGGGCACTTTTGTATACTGTGGGAAATGCGAGACCCATGACTCCATCTACTGGCCTAGTGGAGAACTTCAACATTTTACTCCAAAAACTTTCCAGTGCAACGTACACGTTGCACATTGGATCATCGCATTGGTCCAATATTGGGTCGATGATATGATGTAATACATTTCCCTAGAAAAGGGGGCAGGGCATTATTTGCAAAGTATTGAATACATTTATATGCGGATATGGATTTCATACTTGCCGCGAAACCAGCGGTTTTGTGCTACGTAGGTTGTGTATGCATCAGTAGAGAGGTATTTTTCGGAATTGAGGCGACTCAAGAATTGGATGCAGACGACGACGACACAAAAGCTCCATATGAATGTCGCATTGAAGCAAGCACATCAATACATTTTGGACTCGGAATTAGATAAATTGATGACATATTTCGCATGGAAAACCGAGGAATGGCGAAAATTTACAATCTAATTTCACATGAATTTGATATCCTGGTCGTGCTTAAATGAAATAGTAATTTTCCGAATTTCCGATCTGACCAATCTCATTTACCTCCCCCCCCCTCACCCCCTTCCGAGGACGTTCCTACGAAGATGATAGGTCCAATGAGAAACATATAGGAAACATATACGCCTCCTATAGGAATCGTATAGACTCCCTTTAGGAAAGCATGCTTTCCTATAGGAACCCTACGGGTTTCATAGGAAACCTATTAATTCCTGTATATTCCTATACAGAACTCGATAGATCCTATAGGGGACCTATCGGATTCCTATATGTTCCTATAGAACATATAGGAATCATATAGGGGGAGAGGAAGGCAGATGGCTTTTAATGACCACTTTGAGGATTAAAGGTGTAGCAAGGTTGGACCGGATAGCCAAGAAAATTCCACTCTGTGATGAAGCTTCATGCACCCAAATGTGATCCCAGAAACAAAATCACTCACTCTGGAGACAATGGTATTGACGACGACGTGGAGGTTCTTGCGATGCTTCCCGGGGACCAGATACGCCAAGGCTGTGCTATATCGGATTCCATCCTTGACAGCTTGCTGCAGTCCGCTGAATCCTGCCCAGAAGCGCGACGTTCGTGAAGCGAGCGTTTTGGAATGACTCGCGCGTTTCGTTTTGACCTACCCCTTTGCGAGGCGCCGTTGTAGTCGCGGTTGTGCGGGAAGCCCAGACTCTCCCCCGCCTCGATGAACGCGGGCAAGAGCTCGGAGAAGTGGGTGTAGGATACGGGGAAGTACCCACGATGTCTGTTACTCTCGTGGTAAATGGCATCTCCTGCGACAAACAAGCATCGAGAACGAATCAATCCAATATTGTAGGCAACAGAGGCGCCCGACGTTCGAAGAGAAATGTCACCCCGCCCTTCTCCTGTTGCGCATCTTTCTCGCAAACTGACGGAACACATCAGAACCCGTTGAGACTGAAAGATGCAGAAAGAGGTGTGAGTGTCTCATCAAAATTATGCATTATATGTGAAATTAGCCAGGTGGTAACTCAGAAAGAGGGATTTCATGGTTTCCTTTTTCTTCGGGTGTTGCCATGTGGCATACGATTTCAGTCATTGCTCGTTCTTGAACGTGCAATGTGTTTGGGTTGATTATACTGGCACTGGTGCTGGAACATTTTGTTTGTGCTAGGACAACTAAGTCTTTTTTTTTTGCAGATGGGCAGGAGCAATCATAACAAATTGAGTGGCTTGGAGTCCGATGATGATTGATAAGACTGGTTTCAGCTCTGCATTTTGGCACGTGAAGTCTAAAAAGTCAAAATGTTCAGCGGATTGCGAAATCGTATATCTTTAGACAGGTGTCAAACCGAAGATCACATTATTCATTTTCATATACTTTCCGAGTAGGGTCATATTATCCGAAGCAAAGTTCCATCGGGATACCAGTTGCTTTTCTCCATCATTTATCATTGCTTGATTTTCTTATGGATTTGACTCATTTCAATTTGATGTTATTCTTTAAAACAACCGTTGATTTACATCGGCTACTAGTCTCTATCCTCGGGAAATGCACGACGAACCATACCAGAGGTTTCATCCTCGGTCCTGAAACACTAAGGGCAGTCTTACTGGTAGGAACGTCTTTTACGAGGAAGTTCTCAGCCCTGAGGAAAAGCGGGAGGAGGTCTCTGAAGGACCAGCCTGGATTCCCCAACGCGGCCCAGTTGTCGTAGTCCTTATGATTCCCTCGGGTGTACATGGCGCCGTTCAGGGCAGAACTACCTCCCAGCATCCGACCCCGGAACCAGCGGCATCTCTGCAGATTGGAAAAAGTGTATGTTTTGGAAATTCGGTCAGATACCTGAAGACTCGCAATGAACATTCCTTTGGCTTACAGGTCTGCTAAAACGGGTGATAGTGGAGAGAACATACGGCGAATTCCTCTTCGGACGAGGACCTAAGCCGGATGGAGGTGAGAACTCTGACTCACTTAAAGAATGTCTTGTTGCGTAGTGATGAGCCCCTAATGCGGACCTACGTAAACGTATTCAGTAGCACATACGGGCGCATAGACAATCGAGAGGCCAGAAAAAAAGCAACCATTTTGCAATGATGAAAATTGAATGATAAAACATTCCCTAGTGCGTGTTAAGAATCCATTTCCATGTCGGATTCCAGACTATTTGCAGAATCAGGCCGGAAGGACCAGTATATGATCAGTATATGATTAGTATAGGAGCAGTATCTGAGAAAATATCCTCTCTAAGGAATAGAGTTCACGAGAGAAAAGAATTGCTGCAATCGGCAACTCATATACACCGTTCATATTCGCCCCTCATACCGGTCAATATTATGGAAAGACGTTGTTCTCTAGTGCTAGACGAAGTAGCAATTTCGTACTTTGTATCGTGTACGTGCTCCTTGTGGTGCCACAAGGAGCTTGTCGATGGCACTAAACGCTACTATAATGTTGTCGGATCTTCATTTCGCGCAGATTAGGGCGCATGCAGGATGGAAAGCATTCTGGTTGAACTGCTTTCGCATGGCAACGTGAACGGGGATTTATACATGATGTCCAAGGATCTCGTATCAACTACCGTCCCATGCGTAGTGCACCACTTAGTTCTGCGTCTCAACGAACATCCATGCTTTCAATAAATACCTGAAATTATTCCATTCAATCTACCACTACGATAGAGTCACGCAAATAAATGCGAAATCAAGATCGACACTCAGAAGTGATCAGTAGATTTCACAAAAACCCGTTCTAAGTGACTGGACTCACCCCTCCTTCCAGAGCGAGGCAGGAATCCTCCTGAGGCTCGCTGGTGTAGCGGTAGTCGAAATTGGAGTCCCACCACATCAAGGGGCCGGCTGCAGGGATCAACGAGAGCACGTTTCCGTCCGACCCAGCCTCGAGTACCAGGACCTTCACGCGAGGGTTCTCCGTCAACCGACTTGCAATCACGCTTCCTGTCGTCCCTCCTCCCACTTCGCGATGAACATGAAAGCAAATGGGAGATTTTTGCCATCAATGTTGATTGAAATGGATTTAGAGTTTCATTTTTAAAATTATTTATTTATGCTCTCGATGGGAAGTCGTTCCCTTAATTTCCACCTTACAGTTAAAAATATGACATACATATAGGATTTTCATGGTGGGGATTGGAATGTGAACATTGGCATCTGTTTCTAACACGGTCCGTCATACATGATTGGCACATTTTTGAACGGTCATGCCACACATTGTGCATTGCGAATAGCGATGAATCTTGGACAAAGTGGAACAAATCGATTTCGTGCTGAATACCACTTCCTACAATACCACAATACCAAGTACGCCAATTACCCAAGTTTGCGGAATCTATAGAAGCGGTCTTACAGCGATTCGGTCTCGACCCACTCGAGTCGCCAACCACCTATAATGGTACACTACCGATGGGAGCCATTTTCAACCCCGATTTCGTCGGTAGCAGCGTCTCGAGCTCTATTCTATGAAGGCTGATTTTTCTCGTTCGTAATGAGATTCTGTTCTGTCCCTTCATTCCTGATGCCGCGTTCCCGCGCCAGCCCTTAACCACATTCAGATAATTGGGTCATTGTATTACCCGATCCTGACGCAAGATTAAGACCTTCTCTATATTCGGGCGGATGAGATTTCAAAACTAACCAAACGACATATTCACCTTGACTCAGTCTGAGGAAGGGAATCTGCCATAAATTCATGAAATTGTTTTGCGACTGCTCTGATACCGGTCCCTCAGAGGCAAAACCGGTCCGGAATCGCTGCAGACGTCGAAGGACCGATTTTCGCGTTTTATTCGTTTCCATGCGCAAAAGAATCACAAATCAATAATAAGTTACATTAATATTTATAACTCTTTTCCTGCATTTCCCGCCTCGGAGCAAGAATCAAGGGATTTCCGCAACTGCGTGGATTCCGGAGTCGTCAGGCGGGTGGATACGTGCTAGTTAACATCCCCCCCGAGAGAAATTTCAAGACGTTTTGTGCCATGAGGCATCGTCAAAGGTGGAGTCGAACATCGGTGGCCAAAGGTTAAGGAGGTATTCCCTATCGTTCTCCATCTTGTCTCCTTCGGGCTTCGAATTCTCCTGTCCGCTCGAGGAGGCTATTAGATTGCTCGTTGCACATTAATGCAACGCGGTTAAAGTATTTTTTATTCGTCTGGTGTTTCACTGACCTATGATGAAGTCGTAGGAATCCTTGATCTCTGGTCTGCCGAAGTCGAAGGGATTGTCCAAATCGTTGAATTGCATAAGTTTGCTGGAGAAGATGAAGCCAAGGGCCCAAGCGAGGTTTCTCATCCAAGACATGATGATCGTTTCAAGGTTCAACTCGCTCACGGTTCAACCTGTTCACGGTTCAACCTGTTCACGGTTCAACCTGTTCATGGTTCAGCCTGTTCATGGTTCAGCCTCATCACGCTTCCTGAAAACGGTATGGTTATGCAAGAATATCGCACGAATCTTTCAATGCATTTCAGGTAAAGAGGATGTCCACAACTTTTTGGGGAACTTCTGAAGGCGCTCTCCGGTTTATTCATCAAATTTAATTATCTACCTCTTTCCCGGCAGCCAGCTTTGTCGATGACCTTGACTGCCACGCGTCTCCAATATTGCCCAGAAGCTCTCGTGAGGAACGATGCGATTCGAGCAATTGGGTGTTTCATGCGTAATTTTTTACAAACATTTTCTAACCCATCTGGAAGGGCCTTTGGAACATATGTAATCATCTGGCGCCATTGAATGAATATTTTCAGCGACGCTCTGGGATCCGCAAGCGAATCAAGCGGAGAATAACTAGATTCTTGGCAAAAAGCGATTGGTTAGGGGACAAATCGTGGCGTATGTTCAGCCTTGACACCCAGCTTCCCGGGCGTTGTTTTTTCGTTGCGACTGCAAAATGCATAAAATTTATTGGACCACGGTTCGTCCCTGTTCGCTCACCGAGGTCGATGAAAAGCTGCCAAAGCAAAAAAAAATATGTTTGCGTTCGATGAACTTTTTTTCTTGTAAAGCATTTACATGTGTCAAACTGTGCCTAATGAGAAATTAATGCACGCATCGCACGTGTTTCAAACCTGCTTCCCATTCCCGTCTCGTAATGGCTTATCCTCTTAATTCACCTCATCTCTTTTCCTTCGTTGAATTCGAAGAGGAAGACAAACAATTTCAAACTATTGCGACATACAAGTGGAACACATGAAATTTAACCCATTCCACATGAAGTTCAGAAGTGGCACATATCGAAACTTTCCCAAAAAACTGGCTCGTAAAAACTCCATTTCCCATTAACATCCAACATATTTTTTTCCCCCAGCGAAATCCCCACGAACCGACCGCTCTAAGAAAACTTCAAATACCGGGAGAATACGAGAAGTCGTCTCACAGTCCATAAAGACAGAGCATCATCGCGTCGGCACAAGGCCTCGCAAAACGCGTCCACTCATCTCCCTTTCATAGCGCACTTCAGCAGTAACACAAAAAGACAGCCACACCGAAAGACAGCCCCCAATTCCAACTTGAAGGAGTCAGCCTACCACCCCAGTCACAACACAAAGAAGACACAATCGGAACTCGCCCGAAACCCAACAAAGACCTCCACCACACCACCTCACGGACAGCCCAAAGAGATAAATAACACATAAGAAGCTTCCAAGGAAGTCAGTACCAGTCATTGCACCATTCTTGCATCACAGCTCCGCCCAAATCACGATAGAAATTTTGGGCGACCTTGAGCTATCACTGATGAGACGATCGCAAGGTGATCCACATCGTATATAGAGACAAGAAACCAGTGGCGTGTGCACAAATTCCTGGGAGAGTTGGTGGGAGTGAGTTCTCGTTCCTGGCCTGCAGATTGTGCCAATGCGGAACCGATTGATCAATCCAGTACCGAAACCATTACAGGGAGTTGTCCTTGAATATTTATTCGTACAACTGCATTTTGTGACACTAATGAGGGCATGTGAATGGCTTTCAATATATGTATATATCTTTACGATCCATTACGCTTTCCTCCCGTCTCTGAACATAGCGATGGGCCTCTGGATTCCTTACGAAAGAGAATAAAATCTGACCGGGGGGACTCAACGTCTCAACCCAAGGCTGGATGCACCGGGATTTTAAGCTTCATCCGGGGAGAACCTATCCAGGCATTCCAGATCATTAATCGACCGACTTGGAACGTGGCAGCATTTCCGACTCGATCCAACCGGACGGGGGAGGACCGGTCCGACGTTGCGTAAGCGTCGGATGAGACTCGAGGATTCATTGGATCGTGTGGAGCTCTTTAACTATTCTCGCCCTTTCCATGATTGCCTTTAAGAAAGGGTTCTGATTTGAATAAATTTTATATAAATAATAAATTAATCAATAAAACTTGCTGATTTAATTAAATTTTCGGGTTCGTAGTGCCTTCACGATAGAATTCGTTCTGAATCCAGGGAATCAGGTGCGAGCAAGCAGAAAGCGGTTCATTGCCTGGGTTTAAAGCCCAAGAAATTAATTGAAAATTTGAGTTATTTTCATACATTACTAAACGAAAATGAGGGAAATGATGAAGATGCACGTTCCCGCCAAGGAATGTATCGAATTATATAATCAAATTCACGGATATAAATTTCATGATTTTGAGGGCTGGAATTCAAGGATTCCAATTTCGAAAGTTCTCTATTTCGAAAAAATAGATGCAGAGTACATTGACAATTGACAAGTGTCAATTGACTTTCTGGACATCAATTTTTTTCCCCCCAACTATTCCCCGTCCTTAAAAACTTTCAAATCGATTGGTCTCCTCACGACGTCGAATATGCAACCTCATCTAGTGTTGCGGATAATAACAACGAAAGTAATTACATTGAAAATGAAGCTACAGGCCGTTAATGGCAATTTAAACCTGGCAGCTGGGAAATATCACTTAGACGTCCTCGGATTTGCATAAATGAGGCCGACAGGATTGCTAAGGGGTGGGTGGGTACAAACTGTTAACACGGATTCCCAAGGTCATCAGGAGACTTCTGCCTAAATGGCACAAGAAATTGAATCAACATGGAATAAGCATTGAATCAACGTCCTGAGGTTTTATCATTTATTCAATGTTAATTGAATGTTTTGTGCCACTTGGGATTGGACCATAACTGAGAGGGAATCCAATTAAAGAATACGCCTGTTTCATTAGCGGCCTGAGGCGAGTTAGGACTCGCCAGACAAGCTCATTTACAGCCGCATTTCATTTCTTTCCCTTTCCAGAGACTCAAGGGTAATGGGCGTCCATTTATCAATAAATAAAAGGGTCTGAATTCGTCGAATTTGATTCTCATTTTGGGACGGATCGCGCTGAGAAGTTTCCCAGTCAGCAATATCTCCCCGCGCCGAGTGCGGCTTACCCCCGAGGTTCTCGTTTTACATACATAGGCTAAGTGTGGCCTATGCGTAGGGCAGGTAATTGACAAAAATAACTTGGCTGGTCTTGTCTGCACGTGGAGGCATGGCATCAACGAGGCGTGTGTATAGGCCTCTCCATGAATGTCTTTTTTTTCTACGGCAACCCGGAACCAGCAATGATGGATACATTTCTATCTACAGTACTATTACTGCTTGTACTGGCATAACCCGCTGCGCAAGCAAGAGTCTGAACCTTGGAAAGGCAGGAGGTAAAGGATAACACAGGAGTCGACCTATCCCTGAAACGTACTAATTATAGCATATTGTATTATAGTATGCTACCGTTTTCTTCAAAATATCCGTAAATGTTTCCTCTCGCCATCAGTCCTACATTGTACTGTATATGTGCGTGAAACATCTATGTCTGCCAAGTGTGGGCCAAGGGTGCAAAAGTTTCCTATGCCAAACATGGTCTAACAACCGAAGAGCCAGAGAAACGCCGCAGCTGTCGCACGTACGCCGACCTATGACCACACATGCGCTGCTGACTGGGTTGGCATTCGCGTCTCAACGCGGACTTGCGGGAGCCAACCCACCCCAACTGATGCATTCTCATCCTGGAATATGTTTCCATATCGCAAAGTCGATGTGCACCGAGAGCTTTCCTGCGTCGACGCTGAGAAGAATGAGCCAAAATGAAAGAATAGAGCGCATCTCCTCTGTCTCGACGAATGGGGAACGCAGTGCAGACAGTTCGCCTGTTGGCAAAGGATAACATCCGATGTTTGCTGCGAGTTTAGTTATCCCTGGGCCGTGGGGATTTCACATTGCTTGATGCTGAATCGTACATCCACCATCTCCATGCAGACGTCGGTTCGATAGCTGATGTCTTACCGTGGTTTGTTCCGTGCATGATCAGTGCTTAGCTTGGAGCGGGTTTCTGTATTTTTTAGGGCAATTTTCAAGTTTACATTCCTTGTTAATTCTTGGGAAATATCAATGTACTGACCGACATTAAAGAATATGATGCCTGGAATTTACAGGTTAGGAAAGATCGGTAAAGCATTTCCCGGGTTTGAGCAATGGTAACTCTTCTCATTGTAATAAGACGCGCATTTAAAAGACGAAGGGATGCCAATCCATCTGGGCTACATTTCGGTTATGTCATGCGCACCAGGCCACGGATGGCTTAAAACTAAGCTAAACTGCAGACTGTCAGAGAACATATATATATTATTTCTCAAGGAAAAAAGTAAAAAATAAATTCTGAGGGTAAATGATAAATGTTTGTGAATTTATCACATTTCCAACAAAAGCGTGAAACGAAAGCGGGAGCATTTTTCCCTTGCAATTCATTAAATTGACTGGGAGCATGCACGTCCAACGAAACATTTATCAACTGTTGGCATATGACACTAGTTGCAGTTCCTTTCCTGAAAGAAAATCACAGATTATGGGCTGCCTTGATGAGATCCGAAGCCCTTTCCCCGATGACGATGCAGGCCGCCATCGTGTGCCCCGAGGTGATGACAGGCATGATGGATGCATCCGCCACTCTCAACCTTTGCACTCGGTAGACCCTGCACAGTTGAATGAACTTTACTCCCACTCTTTTATCCTGGATTCATCAAATTGTTGATTCTGATACCTGAGTTTTGGGTCCACCACAGCTCCGGAATCGTTGGCAGGCCCCATCTTGCACGTGCCGACATCGTGCCAATGAAGGTACGTAAACTGACGAATGTGACATTCCCAATACTCGTCCGTGAACTGTTTCAGATGCTTGCAACCTGGCAGAGGCTCCCTGTAGAATTCGGCACCGAACTTCCTGAACGAGGGTTGTTCTCCCAATCGCAGCACTAAACGAATAGCTGTTAAAGTAACCCTTACGGAAATGTCCTATAGGAAACCTATAGTTATTTCTTATAGGAAACCTATAGACTTTCCTATAGGTTTTTGAAACACGAAAAACCTATAGGAATCTTTAGGATCCTATAGGATCCCTATAGGGTCTTATAGGTCTCCTGACCTATAGGATTCGGGGAGGATATTTTGGGTTTCGAAACCCAGGCATTACGACGAAAAAGCGACCGGGGTTAATATTGGCGAAGCATTTCGGTGTAAATAAAAAACCGATTAGGGGACTTTCCATGGTAGGGACACATCCACTATTAATACCAGTACTGCGGGGGTCTGCATAATTTATGACCCCACCCCACATGCGTCGCTGGATTGTACATCTACTTCCTTCGGTAAGAAGAAATGGTATTCTTCTCTCGACCTAAGGAAATAGAAGACAGAACCTGCGAGCACGTCTCTTTATTGAAACTCCATTTGGATAGAGTCTATTCAGTTTCGTACGTGGCCTTCAAAAAGAATATGGGAATATTTCTTCACGGGATTCCATGATTATATCTGGAAGATGGGCATGGCAAATAAGGAACTGTTAAAGTTAATTGATTCCAACAATGAGGCAAGGAGAGACATTAGGGGACGTACAAAACTCTCTTCTGAGAGATGTTTCCTTGGGTAAGGGGAGGGCACTTTTGTACCCTTTCAGAAATGTGCGAACCCAATACTTCCATCTAGTGACCTAGAGGAGAACTTCAAACGGAACCCTATAGGCCTATAGGGTTCCGTATAAGTCCTATAGGGAACCCTATAGGTCCTATAGGTCCTATAGGGACCCTATAGGTCCTATAGAGAATCCTATAGGTCCTATAGTGAATCCTATAGGTCCTATAGCGAACCCTACAGGTCCTATAGGGAACCCTATGGGTTTTATAGGGAACCCTACGGGTCCTATACAGAACCGTTTGGGTCCTATAGGGAACATATAGGCCTCATGGGGAACCCTTTAGGTTCTATAGGGGTATCCATAGGTTCTATAGGGAACTCTATAGGTTCAATAGGGGACTCTATAGGTTCTATAGGGAACTCTATAGGTCCCAAACTGAAGTCTAACGGGCATATAGGATCCTATAGGATTCCTTTAGGTTCCTATAGGATTCCTATAGGATTCCTATATATTCCTTTAGGAATATATAGGAATCCTATAAGACATTTTCGTAAGGGAAAACAAGTAATATCACGTTGCATTGGCGAGATTGGCTGACACGTGAATTGCAGGTAACGAATGAGTACTTGGGAGTACCTTCGATGGTTCTCCTGAGATCATCAGGGTGTTTGAGGTAATTCCCGATAATGATTGGATGATCGAAAACGTTGGTACTGCGCAGTAAAATCTTTCCCCGGCTCTTTGGTCGTGTGACATATGGATAAATCCCAAAACCAGGTCGAAACAACAACCCTTTGTATATTTTCCAGGCCTTTGGAGAAAAAAAAAACTTTGTAGAAACTTAAATACGTATCGTCGTAGAGACTTGAAGGACAAACCTCGTCTCCGAGTCCGATCCTCGGCCGATATAAAATGCCTCCGTCGGTGCCCATCGTCAACGAACCGAAGAAAATCTCCATATCCGGCCATTCCGGATCGCTTGAGAAGGACGTGTTGACGAAGGCGATGGCCTCGAAACCGGATGCAGTCGCGAACAGTCCTGAAGCGATGTAGGCACGCTTGGGTCAAAGACAGGTGAAGTGACTTCATTTCAATAATTTCATATTTAATCTGATACGCACCACTGCAAAAACAGGTTAGAAAAATTCACTTACTGAATTTTCGAGAAAAAAATTACGAATTGCTTTCAAAGCATATTTGGAGCGGAGCCACTAATTACCATGAATTAAGTGGTTCCAAGGACTCGCGAAGCGACGCAAAGAATTCATTTTCTCGGAAAATTTCAGACGTGCAAGGAATCTCGACCCGTCCCTCTGCGGTTCATCCGTTTCGTGAGAAGGATGCATTCAGAGGGCTTCGAAGCGCTTGTCGCAGCCAATTGGTCCGCCGCGGCCGAAACTCCCACTCCTTTCCGAGATCTGTTGTGGAGTTAATTATGCCACTCGAAACGCGTTTTGCTGGTGAAATGGTGAAATTTGTATTCGAATGAATCGAGATTAATCGGCTGGGACGGGCTTATGAGTTAGCATGAAATGAGCCTAAATCTTGCAAAACCTTCTTGATGAGCGAAATATGCGATTGGATTCGTCGCATTTTCTCGTGAAGTCGTTGTATTAAAACTGGGTCTGACAATTCGATTAGATTAATCCACCGATCAATCGATTAAAGTATAAATCTCGATTTTAAAATTACTCGTAATTACAGCAACCGAAAAGGAATGCGGAATCAATAGAATTAAATAGAATATAAATATAAAACAGAATAAAATGGAAATGAGTTGGCATGAAATAATCGTATGATGACTCGCTGAAGATAGTCTTTTTCGCACTGCTCTCTCGTTTGCAAAAATGAGCTAATATTTTATGCAAAAAGGGAACAAAATAATTAAGACATCGGTATGAAAATATTCCAAATGAAGTTTAGTGTTTCATGGAAAATTAAATGTGAAGAAACTGCTTGGGAACTCCCAGAAGGAATATGTAGGCAGCGCATGTGGATCACGCGTGGCGTGGGCAGCAGGAAAGATGACTGGAGAGTGAGATGCGTACGTTCGAGTGCGTGGGCGGTGGGTAGGTGGGTAAGAGGCGTGCGTGTGAGTGCGTGGGTGAAGGCGTGAGAGCCCCAGGGAAGCAGCCGGGAGACGGGGACAGGCGTGAGAAGAGGAAATGAACGCGTGGAATCTTGTCCTACTCCCTACCCTTTTCCTGGCTATAATGGATCTCTCCCTAATGGATCTTTAAATATCCGGAATCGAGTACACCTCAATACGTCTGGGTTGTTGTGTTCTTCCGGTATGGGTTGGCAACTGGCTTAGGGTCTCAGCTTCTTTCCTTTTTTTGCAGTCGACTCTTGATCATCCCTTACGAAAATGTCTTATAGGATTCTTCTATATTCCAATAAGAATCCTATAGGAACCTAAAGGAATCCTATAGGTTCCTATATGCCCCATAGAGTTCAGTTCGGGACCTATAGCGTCCCCTATAGAACCTACAGAGTTCCCTATAGGACCTATAGGGTTCCCTATAGGACTTATACGGAACCCTATAGGCTTATAGGGTTCCGTTTGAAGTTCTCCTCTAGGCCACTAGATGGAAGTATTGGGTTCTCACATTTCTCAAAGGGCACAAAAGTGCCCTCCCCTTACCCAAGGAATCATCTCTCACAAGAGAGTTTTGTACGTCCCCAAATGTCTCGCCTTGCCTCATTGTAGCAATCAATAAACTTCGACAGTTCCTTATTTGTCATCCCCATCTTCCAGATAGAATCATGGAGTCCCGTGAAGAAATATGCCCTTTTTCCTTTTGAAAAACCACGTACGAAAATGAGTGGACTCTATCCAAATGGAGTTTCAGTAAAGAGACGTGCTCGCAGGTTCCGTCTTATATTTCCTTAGGTCGAGAGAAGAATACTACTTTACTCTATCGAAGGAGGTATATGTGCAATCCAGCGACATATGTTGGGGCGGGGTCATAAATTATGCATTACTGGTATTAATAATGCATGTCCCCCCTACCATGGAAAAACCCCTAATCCGTTTTTTATTTACACCGAAATGCTGTGCCATCATTAACCCCGGTCGCCTTTTCCGTCGTAATGCCTGGATTTCGAAACCCAAAATATCCTCCCCGTGTCCTATAGGTCAGGAGACCTATGAGACCCTATAGGGATCCTATAGGATTCTAAAGGATCCTATAAGTTTTTCGTGTTTCAAAAACCTATAGGAAAGTCTATAGGTTTCCTATAAGAAATATCTATAGGTTTCCTATAGGACATTTCCGTAAGGGATGATTCATAAAATTATTATCATTTGTGGGTATTTTGTACACAAGCAACCAAATAACCAATTAATACGCTCATCAGCCTCCGTTCATGATTGAAATAATGAAGAACAAAAGTCCATCAATTTACTTTCTACATTTATCAATACTTGCATTGTCTTTAACCTGCCACATTCAACAAGGAACTCGGATCGATTATATCCGCTAAATCGATTAAGTGGTTCATCATGAGTCGATTGCATTTACAATCGATTGACAGCCCTGTTTAATAAAATGCAGAGAAATGCACCTGCAGCATCAGTAGACTTGTGAAAGGTCAAACAGGAGAAATTCAATCTTGGCTTATTTCAAATGTCCGTAAGAGTTAAGAAGCATACCATCGCCCTTGAAGAGGTACTTGAGGGCATTGGGGATCAGTCCAATGGTGAGTAGGGAAGGGATGTAGAAGCCAGTTTTCTCCTTGATGCTGAAGTAGAGCCCCCCAGGACCGGTGTGGCTTTGGAGGTTCTCTCCCGCAGGCAGATCCACCAGCTGTCTGATCTGGGGATGAAAGTTTTCTCAGGAGGCTGAAAAGTGCATATAGTTACGCGAAGTGTGCCTTTATTGACCATAATGTGAATGTAAAGTGAGAAATCCAATCTATATATACAGTATATAAACGCTCTACTGTTTTCTATGGGAGAAACAGTTTCATAAATGTAGCAAAACTGATTAAATTTGAAACGCGATCTATATTTGCCAGTTACAAGGTGTTGAAATGGTTGCAAACTTTTGTTCGGCACATCTGCCAAAGTAGTGCGATGCCCATTTAGCGCTGAATTAAAGGGGCTAAGAGGTGGGTCATTTCGTCTCAGCTGAGGTGATTGCCTGTGCTCGACCGCCTCATAATTCAATGAACTTTTCGACTTTAACTTTTCAAGGGACTGTTGGATCCAGCTGATACTTGACAGAGAGGTTCATGTTTGCTTGTTTTTTAATTTCCACAAGATGGCGCAGTATTCCGATAGAGGGTGTTGCTGTTGACCGGATTATTGAGGGTGATTAAAAAAAATTTGCCATGCTCCACCTCTGTGTAACAGGACAATACATGGCTCAGGGAATTGTCAAGAAGCAAAAACCAAGAAAATTCTTCTCAACACCTCCGATATTTTCAATATCAAGAGCTTATGGATCATATATTTTTTACTCGAATACACGGATCGTACTTTCTCCCTTTAAAAAGGGTGGAGCTTATTTGTATGACCTTCCGTAATCCGGTCAACAGCAGCACCCACTTTTGGGATACAGCGCCATCTTGCGGTAGCGAAAAACAATTTAGACTCAAGAACCTCTCCCTCAAGTATCAGTTGGATCCAACAGTCCCTTGAAAAGTTGAAAATGTCATTGAATTCTGAGACGTTCGAGCACATCACCTCACTTGAGATGGAATGATCCACCTCTAAGCAACTTTAATCCACCTCTACATTGGCATTGCACGACGGCATTGCAAAAAAGCTAGCAAGCATTTCAACACCTTGTAACTGTGATATATCGATCGCGTATCGAATTTAATTTTTTTGCTGCATTTATGAAACAGTATTTCTCCCATAGAAAACGGTAGAGCGTTTTTTAAAAGCCAACATATACAGTATATTACTGGTCGTCCCTTCGGCGCTCCATTACCTTAAATAGTAATTTATTTATTTATTCTTTGCGAAATGGCAAACATGTGTTTAAAGTACATCCCCATTGAAATACACGACAAATGGGGACGAAAGTCTTGATTTTAATCAAAGTCATTGCTTCTATGATTTCTAGTGTGCCTAACTTGAATTCTTTTCATGTGTCCCTTTTTGTAAGGGTGGAGAATACAATTTGAAATACTTCCCTCATATAATCTACCACTAAGGGGACATATTTCAAAAGTAGGATATTTTCTGTACTCAGCCATCACACAGGTACTTCTGAGAGGAGTTTACATTTTCTGTCTCAGTTTCGTTGGATCCAAAAAAAATTAAGTAAGATGTTTCTTACAAGAAAAGTGTCGTGATGGGTTTTAACAAAATTTTTTTTTCTGAAATCAGGGAACTTCATGCCACCCAGTTTCAGCCTTTTTGCTGACGGAAAAAAATGTATTTGGAAAAGCGGTCCACCCAAAAGCTGTGCTCTGAGGAGACGCACAACAAAAGTTGAATTTTTCCTCAAATCAACATCAAGTCTGTTATGCGTGCGCCAGCTGCTACTTTTCTATCTCTGCCCGATTCGCTAGGATATGGAAAATTATTTTAAAACGTAACGTCCCCAAGAAATATGCCCCCCAAAAATATTTTGGAAATCTGTCATTTTTCCTGAGCTCAGTGCGTGGACAGTCACGTTTTTGCCAAGTTTCAGCTTTCCATGTGTCTCCGTTTGATAGAAGCAAAGAGAACTATTTGAAAAGATGTTCACCAGGACGCCGCCGGTCGCGTCGTTACCATCCCGTTTAGATATTTTTAGTTTTCACTTATAGGTTTGCATGATAAGTAATGGTGATGGACTTTACGGACGGTGCGGACTGGGTTGTGATCAATAGGTAAAAGTGTCGATCAATGCAAGAACAGGGTTCCGGTCAATAAAGGGATAGAGCAGCTGCTGCCCATAGCGTTGAGAGAGCCATTGAGTTTTAGGGCCGCGGAATGATCTCGGGATCTCTCGTCAAAGAGTTCGTGGAGGTCTTCCACTAGGGGTCGGCTAGTGATACTGTATCGTAATCTCCTTGCAATCTTGAGGTAAAGGAAAATTGCACATGAAAATTGTTCTCATTAAGAAAATGAATGCCTTTAACGCACGAAATTGCCAACAAATAACATTATATTATGTTCTTTTGCTTGAGCTCCCAAATTTGTAAGATATTCGGAGAGCCAATAATTCTGGACCAACTCCGTGTTTTTGTAGTTCGTGCTTGGGTCCAATGCCGGAGAGCATGAGGAGCTGAGGGGAAGCAATGGCCCCGGCCGACAGGATCACCTCCCTCCTCGCCGATACGAAGCGCTTGGTACCTTTTTCAGTCAGGTACTCGACCCCCTTCGCCGTCGTCGTCGCCTCGTCTATGACAATCTGGCGGGAGGAGGAGACGGATAGGGATGACAAGCAGTCACCATTCTCAAATCACCAATGGAGGTCAATCCCAGTCGTGATGAATCTCCAGAAACTACTTTTCAAGAAATCGCGTCATGTCCAATCTTACCGTTCCTTTATGCGGTAATCTGATCTAATGGTAAAGTCCCATAAATGCAGGGGGAAAGTTTTTACTTTTAACAAAAGTGTATGCATTTGTCACAAAAAAACCAATATACTTAATCGCCTTCTTTCTCTTAGGACTGCATTCTACACAGCAAATGATACATATTGGATCCCGAACCCCTTCTGTGGGCACCGCCCTTGGGAATTATTATGTGAAATGGGTACCTTTAGATTTTCAAGACGATCCGTTGATTCATGATAGCGCGTTATCTCATGCAATACCTCTTCCTCATTAAATTTGTCTGTGTCACATACGCACACATGCCAGTGTTTCCTCTAAGGAAGCTTTTATTAATAGAATAATTGTTTACTTTGTGATTGACTTTCGGTGACTCCTGCCCCTTCGACTTCTTAGGTTTTTATGTTGAGGGTTGAGTCCCTCTTCCTTCCACAGGGCAAATATTGCCAGGCGTCCTCATGGGGTGTCTTTCACCTTTAAACGATAATATCATGACATCCCAATGTATTATACCTTGTTGGAAGTAGGAAAAAATCGGATACTGTATGCCAGAAATCTCGGGGAGCGTGGCGTCGTTCCTTTACCGGCGACTCACTACGTTGGCGAATGAGGTGCCATCTTACGTCGCCAATGGTAAGCTTTACTTGGATAGTCAGCCGCTGGAAGCATGAAAGCGAAAGGGCAGAAGGATAAAATGCTCACCAAAGGGCGGTTGAAAATGTCGATAAAATGCGTTTTAAGGTCGTCCTGCTCATCAGGACACCGCTCTAAATGGAATTTTGTTCACTAACGGGAAAATTTCCTTTATCCGCACTGCATTCTGCCCACGCACGACATGGCATCAGATCCCGTATTCATTTCTTATATCTCAGAGTCAGATTACTCAATAGGTGAACAATTCATGGGCATGAGAAGCCTATGTTAAGGGGGCGCCAACCCTCTGGATGTGATGAAAAACGAGATAACGAGACGAGATTTCATCTTGGGTTACCCCCTGCCTCGCATGATCGGACCAAAGGGGAATATGTCTTGGGGTGCTGGAAACCTCAATCGGACCCTGTTTTTGTAATTGAGCCTGAGCACCTCCCGTGGTGAGGATCGACTCGCGGGGGTAATTCCTCCGGCAGCGGTGAACATGACCGAGGTGGGTGTACAAAACGGAGTGAAGATGACTCCGGAATTTCAGGTGGAAGGACTGATGCATACCCCCTATAGAACCAATAGGGTTCCTCATAAGGCCTATAGGTTCCCTATAGGACCCAAAGGGCTCTGTTTTTCCTATAAGAAATAGCTAAAGGTTTCCTATAGGACATTTCCGTAAGGGAGTCTCTCAGGGATGGGATGAACACCTTTTAATTAGCTGCTTTGCTGAAATGCAGGCCTGTACAATTCTGGAGGTTCATAGATTTCATTCAGACCTGGTAGAATGTTCGGTCTTCTCGCAATTAATATCAGGTTCCGTAATTTAAATATGCGCATTGACTTCAATGCTCCTAAAAATAATATGTTCGATGGGTGCGAAAAGCGGAAAATTTTTTGTTTCAACCCGCTCTGCAGCGGAACATATCGAAAAATACATTTAAATATCAGTTCGCAAAAATATTTTCTCCAAAATTATTTTCTTCAGATATTTTCATCGCATCAAGTCACCATCGCAACGACGCATGCTCCTTTCAAATATTTAGACGCTAACGTAGGATATAGATTAATTCGCGATGTTTCCTTGCAAATCGATCCCGAACGAGTGAACGAGTCAATGAGAACATTGAGTGCTAACGATTTTGAAATTACTGGAGTTCCATGGTTTCTGCGATGAGTTCTATAAGACCGAAAGGACATCCTTTAAAAAATTTTCTGACTTCTGTTGCAGAATTCTGCGAAATTAGATGTGCTGAGAATCTGAGAGTCTTGCTGAGAATCTGGCACATACTCCTTATGTCCTGCCCATTCCTGTAAATATCTTTCGGAATTCGCATAGGTGGGGAAGCAGACTTCTTCCTTTCTTAATGTCGACTCGACAGAGAGAAAACGCCAAATTCCTCTTGACTGCAGACCGCCGTCACTTATTGCTAAGAATAGTTCAAATAGCTGCTAGATTCTCTCCATAAGAACTCGGGTGGTCAAAGCAACGGCGCCACTGGAAATGCCGACATCGGAAGCGCGGAAAAGAAATACGAGGGGAGGTCGAGAAGGTCCGATTAATTTTAATCAAGGAAGAAGCGTAATTTTTAAATTCATTTTCTCTCGAAAGCTTGTTTATTCAGCATTTCTCCACATAGTCACCACCAATTTGAATTCATTTTTTCTGGTGGTGACAATGTGGAGAAATGCTGAATAAACAAGCTTTCGAGAGAAAATGAATAAAAAATAATTACGCTTCTTCCTTGATTAAAATTAATCGGACTTTCCGACCTCCCCTCGTATGCAGGCAAACGAAGAGAGAACTTGTGACATAAGGGGGTGAGAAGAGGACAGGCGTTTATTGGGAGGCCAATTTGCAATGTTGGCTGTTTAATATATGCACCTGTTCCTCTCCTAGGAAAAGAAGTTGGAAACTTGGGATTCAGAAAATGTGAACGCTGAAGAACTGAGGAGGGTGTTGATGTAGTCAGTGATAATGGCTAATTGACGAAGGATTGGGTGCAATTTCGAGCGCTACTGTATGCGGAATGCAATTCATAAAAAAGATGACTCACATATTCTGCCTCTCAGTGAAGCCCACTCACTTTCGTGACGGGGGTGTTGAGGACGACGTGGAGGTTCCTGCGGTGCTTTGCCGGCGTCAGGTATGCTTTGGCCGTGCTGTGTCGGATTCCTCGCTTGGTCGCTACCTGCACTCTGCCGAAACCTGTTCAGTGGTCGAACGTGCTCAGTACATAAATGCAAACAGTCAATATATCTCTCGCACCTAGCTGCTAGCTTGAAGAACAAACAGTATTTGTTCCTTTGTCCGCGGGAGACCATGCAGCCTTCGTGCCAAAATCTTAGGAAAGCGCAGCTTCCCATTCTCACTGAGATATTTTTTGTGACTCTGCTATTAAGCGCTTTCGATGGAAATTCTCACTTGCTCGGTAGGCGACCGTGGAGCTATGTTAATGTCATCGAGCCAAAATTCAAAACTAATTTCCAGTCTCTTAATCTAGTGAAAGGGTTGAAATCTTTTGTTGTGCCTTCGCGTAGAGAAGACAAAAATTATTTGAGCTGGAAGGGGAGTAACGAAATGATCACTTATTTCTCCACATTGCATTGAAAAATATTGGCTATTCATTAAAGAAGAAAATAGGACCATTTTCGACCCAATGTCACGAAAAGCGAGTCGCACCTTGAGGGCCAGATCGTGTTAATTTCATTCTTTCTCTTGGGCTACCTTCCGGACAAAGTACCAGATATTTCTTGTAACACGACATTTAACATATATTCCCAATATGTTTGGCGCAGCTTACCCCTCTGCGAGGCGCCGTTGTGGTCGGGATTATAGGGGTATCCCAGGCTAATCCCGGCCTCGATGAATGCTGGCATGAGCTTCGTGAAATATGTGTATGAAACAGGAAAATATCCACCGGTCCCGTGATAAACTGCATCTCCTGAGAACGACAACAATCAAAATGGTCAAAGTTTCTGGATTTCAGAAAACACGGCAAACTTTAAATAATAGCATATGTTTGTACGTCTTCCTACTCTTCAAGCAAGGGAAACGCGAGTTTTGAGACTGGATTTAAAAAAAATAGGGAAATTGACATGACGCACAGAACGTTTGAGTAATGGAATAACGGAATGATTTGATTAACCGATGAGATTCATCAACACTTAAACTTGAACCGGAAGTCACAACCCTACAACCACAAATATTTTGCGCTGATTTATTATTAACGATGATAGCAGATAGGATCCTTTGAAGGTTCGTGAATTCGCACACGCGATATGAAATAGCGATCGAAAGAAAAAAAACTTCCTCTGTTCTAAAAAAAACGCAGCCTGCAGGACATCGGGGTCTAATAAGATCGACCAGAGTCGTTTTCCCCCGGGAGAAGCAGAGGCTCCAGCGACCACGCGCGTTGTGGGATCTCTCAGAAATTCAAGCACGCATGTCCTATTAGCCTCACGACTGCAAATGCTCCGTTGGCTTAAGGTGGATGGATATCACGCGCGTTTTTAGGCCGGATCAAATTAGGACTCAAGTTGTGAGCTTCACTCCCACCATTCAAAGTCTTCTTTCCTGCAGCATTCAAGTTGTAGCATTCCTGAAGTTTTCGACTAGGACGTCATTTTCCTCTGTTGATAATTGGTAAATGCATTATTTTGGGTAAGTTCCTTAGCGCTGGTGCCTGCACGAAAAAGGTACAAAAAACTCTAGAAAGGACACAACCTTAAGCTCCGAATCTTATTGCTCGCTCTTACTTGGAGAGACATCTTCCACGAGGAAGTTCTCAGCCCTAATGAAAAGCGGGAGGAGGTCGTTGAAGGACCAGCCAGGATTCCCCAAGGCGGCCCAGTTGTCGTAGTCCTTGTGGTTCCCGCGGGTGTATATGGCGCCGTTCAGGGAGGAACTTCCTCCCAACATCCGACCCCGGAACCAACGGCATCGCTGGAAAGACAGAAGAGATTTTTCTTAGCAGTGTGTGGTCATGGGTCTGAAGACATGATGCTGCAAAACAAAATTGTTCACATGAAAACTGCTGACATTTGACAGGAAAATATGCACGGATTTTAATTTGACGACTTCCAATAGGCATTACAACGATCATGCATGCATATATAAAGTTATTTCTGTTAGACCATTCGAATGCGATTATTGATTTAAGCTCTAAAAGCCTTAACCGAGCTGGACTTAATGCCATATGACATTGAGAGTTCAAGGTCAATATATTCATTAAAATTACTAATTTTGCGAGTACTTTCGTTGGAGTTCAATAAATTTGAGTATGCGTTTTAGACAACACCCTGAGGAACCCTATCTTGAGAGGGGGGGGGGGGGTTGAGAGACTTTTTCAACATTTAGTTAGCTTGAAAGAATCGGTTCCCGCAGTTGGGACATTTCGTTTTAAATTAGTCAACCTCAAGCTGGCAATGATGTCACATAGCCCGAAGCAATTCGAATTCATATTTAAGGGAGATTGTGCACGTTTGAGAGGATTTAATGAATTTCTTTGCAGCACTTTTCACAGAATGAGCAACAATTGCAAGTTTGTTAGTCCGAAGGGCGAACAACTTCGCTTGTATTCAATTTGACTAAGACCAATACTACTGGGTTTTTCAAAAGTAAGCGTAAAATAAAGCCATGATCAGTCTCATCCTGAAAGGAAAGTCATTTAGAAAAAAAAAAAATTTTGCTAGTGCTTGTAATTCTTTATTGTGTCAGTATAAGCCCAGTAGAACGGATTGGAAGCAATTTGATGAAACTAAGCAACGGCAATAAAAAGCAAGAGCATCAATGGTATTATTTGTCTCTAAGTCGAAATAACTGTGGTTGAACTCACTCCTCTTTCCAGAGCGAGGCAGGAATCCTCCTGAGGTTCGCTGGAATAGGCATAGTCGAACTTGGTGAACCACCACATCAAGGATGTGGCTGCAGGGATCCAAGAGAGCAGGGTACCATCCGACCCAGCCTCGAGTAACAGCACCTTCACCTTCGAATTCTCAGTTAACCGACTTGCAATCACGCTCCCTGTCGTCCCTCCTCCCACTTTACGATTAGCATGAAACCACAAAGAAAGATGCTTGCCATCAATATTGATTGAATTTGTGAGAAAATGTAATTTAAAATCATTTTTAATGGTCTCTATGGGAAGTCGTTCCTTAATTTTCACTTTGCAGTTAAAAATATTATATACTGTACATCAGGTTTTCACTGAAGCCAACAGCAACTTTAATTAGTAAATTCTCCTTGACACACGACACATTTTCGAATGGTGACACTGCACATTTGATCCGCTACGTCCGCTCAAGTTCTTATCGCTGAAGGCAGACTCTCTTCGGTGAGATTCCGTTATCTTTCTTGTCTCCGACTTATTCCTCATTACGTTCCACTCAGGGGCGTAGCTACCAAATGTGCAGGCGGTGCGACAACACCAGGGCCCACGAGCCAGAGGGGCCCAGGGCGGGGGGGGGGGGGGGGGGGGGGGAGGCAGGGGGGGGGGGGGGAGGACGACTACTCTGGTCAAATTCTCAAATTCGCAGTCAATTTTTTTAATTTAGAAAACAAATAAAGTTATGTTTATTAGCTCCTGTAAAATGGATATTCAGGGTTTTTACCCCAGACGAAAAATGAATAAGGCGATAGGTCGGGGGGTGGTGGTAGATGGGGGGGGATGGGAAACAGGCTATGAAAATCTTCAGTATCCGCTACTGTCTTCCACACTGACTTCAGCAAGCGACGACGATTTATATGCTGCCGGAGAACACTAGCAAAAAATTGGGGCTCCCACATTATTCAATAGTAAGAAATCGGACAGCGGGCCCCGTTACATTCCTTGCACCAGGGCCCATGCCAACCACGCAACGTCACTGGTCCCACTCAGCCGCTATTTCCGCGTTTCGTCCCATGGCCGGTCAGGGGATGAATATTTTTTTCACGATTTTAATGAGAGAGTAAGACCGACAGCTCGAGGGGACGAGGATGAGACTTGGAAACTAACCAGACGGAGTTTTTACCTTGACCCAGTCTGAGGAATTGGAAGCTGTCGTAAATATCAAGATGTGTTTTATATTTGCCTAGAACCAGTCCTTCAGAAGTAAAACCGGTCCAGATTCACTCCACTCGTCGAAATGGTTCGACCAAGGAGAGAAAAAAAAGTACTTTTTCTGGTTTAACCCCATTCCCCGGGGGAAATGAGTATCAAGGATATCTCCATTTTCTGCATCGCCTTCCGAGGAGCAAAAAAAACTGGTTGATTTGAACGCGATAAGGCGCGGCTCCACGGAAAAGAAAAATTTCTCCCCTCTTTCCATCGTGATGATTTCATTGGGAACACGGTAAAAGTGAAGCCTTTAAATAAAGTGGCCTTTAAATTCCGGACTTCTCTTTTCTGCGTGTCGCTTCATGAATTTCATGGCATGAAATCAACTCACTGAGAGAGTTTCATCTGGTGTTTTACTGACCGATGACGAAGTCGTAGGAATCGTCGATCTCCCGCCTGAAGTTGGAGAAACCGGCGGGATTATCCAGCTCGTTGAGGAGCAAATTACTCGAGAGGATGAAGCCGATGGCCCAGGAGAGGTTGTTCATCCAAGACATGACGGTCTCCGCTTACGGAAATGTCCTATAGGAAACCTATAGATATTTCTTATAGGAAACCTATAAACTTCCTATAGGTTTTTGAAACACGGAAAACCTATATGATCCTTTAGGATCCTATAGGATCCCTATAGGGTCT